CTAGCTTGGTGCCACTGGAAAGATATGGGGTTCTGCCTCCTATGAGCTGATCCGAGACGGAGATGACCTCCAGGTCGAGGCCAGAGACGACAACGAAGGCGGCGACGACGGCAACTGACGGAGTAGAGGAGCTCTGGCGGGCGTGCGGGGTCGACAAGGGAGCACGTGTAGCAGAGAGCTTGGGCGCTCGAGCACGAGCATAGCTCTGCTCGGGGCCATGGCGTGCGCAGCAAGCAAGGAAGCAACACGGCGCGGCGGTGAAGCAGACATGACGCGCGTGGGTGAGGATGCGCGCGGGTGCGACATGCGCGCAACGGGGCACGCAATAGATTCCGAAGCGGGGAATGCACGGGCATGCAGCAGCAGGTACAGCAGCTACACAACAGCAGCAACACACACAAAATGCAGACTTGCCGGAGCACCGAGAGCACGTCAAAGACACGGATCGGGCGAGTCCTACGGGGTGTGTACACGCCATGCAAAAGACTGGAGAGGGAGGTGCGTTACCCAGCTCACCCTAGGACATGACGGGCTCGACGGTGACGCGCTGAAGGCGACGAGAGGGAGCTCTGAACTTGGCGAAGATGCTAACAGGGAAGAAGAGGAAGAAGAGGACGACAGGAAGGTAGATCCAGAGGCCGTAGAGGTGCGTGCGTCGAAGTAATACGTAGGGGAACTTGGCAGTCTTCACCGCGGCGTCTGAGGTGATGGGAGGCGTGGCGAGCGTCTATCCCGAGCTGAAGCTCGAGCTCGACCGGGTCATGGCGGGCAGGGCGAGGGCGAGGCGTGGCTAGCCTTACCTGGCAGCAACAATGGAAGGAGATGAGGGGGATCGGTCGAGGCGAGACCCTACGGCACCGGGGACAACTTTATAGGGGTTCTAGGGAGCTTCTCCGGCCGTCAAATCGACCGGACATCGACGTGGCGCGTCTGGATGATCTACCGTATAGGGGAGACGATGCCCCTGTCGCTAGCAGGCTGGATGGGCTGCTGCGGGGATTGGGCTATAGGCGCTGGGAGGCCGGCCCAGGTATGTTCCTCACTTAACTTTCTGTTTAATAAATAAACAGTCACCACAGGAAAAGTCCAGGAGGTTTGGGGAAGAATATGGAAGAAGTAGAGATATACTCAGACTCCTAGAATTATGGGCCATTTGAATAAATTGCTTTGGGGATTTTTAAAGGAAGAAAATTAAATCAAGTTTGAATTAAATTCAAACTTGAGTCAATTTTTAACCTAACCAAAACATATTCAAATGAGTTGAAAATTGGCAGAGAGGATGTAGGCATGGTGCCAGATTTAAAGGGAGAAGATGAACATTTATGAACTAGGGCAAGATGGCACTTGCAAGAAAAGAAAAGAAAAGGGAAGGAGATGAGGTGATGCATGGAGGTGGTGATGCATGGACCACACATAGAACATGCAACAACATATCATGCATGAATATCATGGAAAAGCAAGTTGACATAAGCACAACACAACATAGATATGCACATGATGCAAACATAAGATGAGGCCATAGAGCAACAATGGAAGACAAAAGAAATATGACAAAGCAAAGACAAGATAATGCAAAGACAAACAAAACAAACCCAAAATGAAACCCACCAAGAGGAAAACCGCTTGGAATAGATGAATAACAAGATGGATATATTGTCAAAATGAGAAGTTTTACATCTGGGGTGTTACAACACTCCACCACTACGAAAGGATCTCGTCCCAAGATCTAGGACTGGAAAAACTCCGGGTACTCAGAATGGAGGTGATCCTCGCGTTCCCAGGTGGCTTCACGGTCGGAATGATGTGACCACTTGACTTTCAGGAATTTGATTGACTTGTTGCGAGTCTTGCGCTCAGTTTCTTCAAGAATATCAACTGGGTGCTCACGATAAAAAAGGTCTTCTTGGAGATCAATGTCTTCGAAGTTGACGGTGCGGTCAGGAGTCTTGAAGCACTTGCGGAGTTGAGACACGTGAAACACGTCGTGCACGTTTGCAAAGTTGGAGGGAAGATCAAGTAGATAGGCGAGATCGCCTCTCTTGCTGACGATCTTGAAAGGACCCACATATCTAGGGGCAAGCTTCCCTTTGATACCGAAGCGATGAGTACCTTTCATTGGAGAGACGCGGAGGTAGACATGGTCTCCGATCTCGAAAGCCAAATCACGATGCTTACTATCATAGTAGCTCTTCTGGCGCGATTGCGCGGCTTTGAGATTATCACGAATGACTTTGCACATCTCTTCTGCCTCTGTGATCAAGTCATTTCTAAGAAGTTGACGTTCATCAGTCTCTGACCAGTTGAGAGGAGTACGACACTTCCTGCCATAGAGAATTTCAAATGGGGCCTTGCCCGAACTCGCTTGAAAGTTGTTGTTGTAGGAGAATTCAGCATATGGAAGACAATCTTCCCACTTCATATCGAAAGAGATAACGCAAGCCCTGAGCATATCTTCAAGAATCTGATTAACACGTTTAACTTGGCCACTAGTTTGGGATGAAAAGTTGTGCTGAAACGGATGTTGGTGCCCATGGCCTTCTGAAAAGAATCCCAAAACTTGGAGGTGAAGATGCTGCCACGATCTGAAGAAATCAACTGCGGAATGCCGTGCAGAGAGACAATCCGGGAGGTATATAGCTCTGCCAATTGAGCTGCTGTGATGGATTCTTTGATAGGAAGGAAATGAGCCACTTTAGTGAGTTTGTCGATGACAACGAAGATAGCATCATTACCACGCTTGGACTTTGGAAATCCATTCACGAAGTCCATCTCAATGTGGTCAAACTTCCATTCTGGAATGGCAAGAGGTTGGAGGAGACCAGCTGGTCATTGGTGTTCTGCCTTCACTCTTCTGCAGACATCACATTCGTTCACAAACTGAGCAATATCACACTTCATTCGAGTCCACCAATACGACTGCTTGAAGTCATGGTACACCTTTGTACTTCCAGGATGGATAGAGAGGAGTGAATTATGAGCCTCGTTCATAATGACTTTACGAAGGTCACCTTTAGGCACAACAATGCGATCCTCGAAGAATAGAGTATCATTGTCATCAAGGCGATAACACTTGTACTTGGGTTGACTCTTGGCAATCCCAATCTTCACCTTCTTCACCATGGCATCAAGAAGTTGAGCCTTGCGAATCTGATCTTCCAAAGTAGGAGAGACTTGGAGGTTGGCGAGGAAACCTTGAGGAACAACTTGCAGATTGAGTTTGCGGAAAACTTCACAAAGCTTGGGTTGGTAAGGCTTGAGAATCAAACTGTTGCAGTAAGCCTTCCTGCTCAAAGCGTCAGCAATTACATTGGCCTTGCCTGGAATATATTCGATACTCAGATTATACTCTTAAATCATTTCGACCCAACGAGTCTGCCTGAGGTTGAGATTAGGCTGAGTGAAGATGTACTTGAGACTCTTGTGGTCAGTGAAGATGTCCACTTTTCTTTCCAATAAGAGATGTCTCCAAGTTAAAAGAGCATGAACAACTGCCGCCAATTCGAGATCATGAATGGGGTAGTTCTTTTCATTAGGCTTCAACTGGCGAGAGGTATAAGCCACAACTTTCTTCTCTTGCATCAACACTGCACCAAGACCTTGAAGAGAGGCATCACAAAAGACCTCGAACGATTTGAATTCATCAGGAGGAGTCAGAACTGGAGCAGTGACTAACTTCTCTTTCAGGGTGTTGAAAGCGATGTCATATTCAGGAGACCAGACGTACTTCACGTGCTTCTGAAGAAGGTTGGAAAGAGGCTTCGCGATCTTTGAAAAGTTCTCAACGAACCTTCGACAATAGCTTGCGAGCCCAAAAAAGCTGCGGAGTTGCTTCACGTTCTGAGATGATTCCCAATTCACAATTACAGACACCTTCTCAGGATTCACCGATATGCCCTTGGCAGAAATGATATGCCCAAGGTAGAGAACCTCATCGAGCCAAAACTCGCACTTGGAGATAGTAATATAGACTAATAACATCGGCAAGTTACTACTCTATGTTACTTCCCATTGTGAGCAGTTTAAAAGCAGGATCTTCCCTATCCCGCACGTGGTTCCCTCGCTCCAATTTTTAGGGGAAATCTCCTTTTCACAACCGAAAAACACCCAGCAGGCAGACCAGGAGTCCCAAGACCCACTGCTTCCACGTGTCACCAGCCTTCGCCTCCAGGTCACACCGCTCTCCGGCCGTCACCCGACCCACCCAGATCCCGCGTGCTGGATAAAAGACGGCCGCTCCCTAAACAGTACGGTACTACACCAAACCTACTCAACCACAATGACAAGTGGTCCCAGAAACCTTGTCGCCCCACGATACATCGTCATACAGCCCGCGATCCTTGCCCAAACCAGAAACCTTCTGGAAGAAAGTCAAAGCGCGCCCCGCTCCACGTCACGTCGGTCCCGGTGGGCCCCGCGCGTACATCTTTCCCGCTGCCCGTCCGATCCCCGCCAACCGACGGCCACGATCGGGCACCCACCGCCCCTCGTATCCCCCCACCCCTATAAATACCCACCTAGAGGGGCACCAGCCCCGCGCGCGTCAAGTCGCATCGAATCGTACCGTTTCGCTCCGCTCCGCTCCACTTCGGGTCTCGACTGGACCGGCTCGTGCGCAGGAACCGACTCTACTTTGGGTTCGGGCTCGGTCGCTTCGGCGAGGAAGAGGAGTTCGGGCTCGGTCGCTTCGTCGAGGAAAAGGATAAGCAGGCACAGACGCGCACCGCATCGCACCCTGCACCTCCCGTCCTCCCGTCTCGCCCGACGCCACGGCCGGAGCCCGGAGAATCCACGCCGCGGCCGCTCGCCCTCCCGCTCCCAGGAGGCTCCCGCGGCCCGCCCGCCCGGCGCCCCGGCGGCCGTCCTGCCCACAGTAGGCGGAGGGGGGAGGCGCTTGCAGGCTCACCGTCAAGCCGCAGCGGCGGATCTGTCCCCAAGCCACAGCCGCCGAGGTCTTCGACGCCGCGCAGGGGATCACGGGGCGCGTCTCGGTCTCGTTCCAGATGCCAACGACCTCAATCTCCAAGCCTAAGGTGAATTAACCCCCTTCCAATCTGAAATCCACTCGTTGGCATCTACATTTGTAGCTTCTGTTTGGATTTAGATCTGATTGATTTCACCAGTGGGAAATTAACAAATGATGCTGTCATATCCCGCTTTCAAGCCATGATGACATAGGCTCGCTTGGTACGGATTGGTCCTAGGGCCAAGTGTAATGTTAGGGTTTTGCTGCACGACATTTGAATACCTGTAAATTTCGGTTTGTGTGTTCTCATTTCAATCCGCGTGAGGTTTCAATTTGGTGCCTGTGTGTGTGGCTGAAGCTGTTTGTCATTATTCAGCAGGTCTGCGCCTCGCTGGCGCCTGGTAACATGACACCAACGGTCCGCATGGAGTGCGGGCCGCAGATGCAGGCTAAACGGAGCTACGATGAAATAGCTTACCGGGGCACGGGGTATGCAGAGACTGTGGGCGAGTCAGGCAGCCCTGTTCGTGCTGGCCCGGAAGGTTTCTCGGCGTCAAAACGCAAGTGCATCAGCCTTAATAGTGATGGCTTTGATGTGAAGCGAGAGATCTTTGTCCCGTCTAAGATGTCGTCGTCTGAGCGGCGCTACCTTCGGAAGAGATTCCGGGCAGAGCTTGATTCGGTTCGAGAACTCCTCAAGAAGCCAGAGTTTTTGTCCGTCATGCCTGTCAGCAAAGCACCTGCGCTGTCATCGTCAGCTGCCCCTCGAGCTAAAAAGGTGCAAAGGGGGAGCCATGTTGTCCGTGGTGCCAAGGGACGCTTCTTGCCGACAAAACCCCGGCCTGAAACGTCTACAGTGTTGCCTGAAGCTACAATTCTCAAGCAGTGCGAAGCTATTCTGAAGAAGCTGATGACTCAGAAATGTAGTCATATTTTTAATGATCCAGTAGACGTGGAAAAGCTGAACCTTCCAGATTATAATGACATTATCAAGCACCCGATGGACCTTGGGACCATCAAGAAGAAGCTAGATTCTGGTTCCTACGCAAGTCCATCTGATTTTGCAGCTGATGTCAGGCTGACCTTTAACAATGCGATAACTTATAATCCTCGAGGGCATGTAGTGCATGATCTGGCCATTCAACTGAATAAAATGTTTGAGTCCAGATGGAGAACAGTTGAGAAGAAGTTAGCTACTGCCGCCACTAAGCCACATGTTGAGGTTGATAAGGCCGACTCAAAGAGGAGAAAGACCCCTCCTGTGGAACGCAGTAACTTGTCAATAGACCGTGTCAGGCCAACTGAGATTGTGAAGCCAAAGATGACAAAAGAGGAGAGAGAAACCTTGGGAGACTGCTTAAGTTCTTTGGCCGAGGGTCCAGAAGAATTACCTGGTCACATCATTGATTTGTTACAACAGTGTATGGAGAGCAATACAGAGCAGCATGGGGATGGAGAGATAGAGATTGATATCCATGCACTCAGTGATGACGTACTATTTGAACTTAAGAAGCATGTGGACACGTATTTGCAAGAGAGAGATCATCAGCAGACAAAATCTCAGCCCTCTGAGAATGAGGCTGTGAATGTTTCTTGCCTCAGTCACTCGTCCACAAATCCCTGCAAAGGTATTTTGTCGTGTACCCTTTCAGGTTCTCAATAGATTTAACTTTAATGCCGTCAATGCAGTTGTTAGAGATCGACTTTTTTGTGCACTCAGGTGCTGAGCCTGTTGAGGAGGATGTTGACATTTGCGGCAATGCATCCCCTATATTGATAGAGAAGGATCCACAGATCATAACTGACAAATGTGGCAGCCCAAGTAGTTCGAGCAGTGACTCAGGATCTTCATCCAGCGGTGTGTACATATGAGTTATTTAGTTATCTATATATTTGTGTTTACCATAGGATACATCCTTGTAAAACATGTTTCTCCGCGAAAATTACTTCGAGTCTTTGACCGTCTCTATATTTCCCTTCTCGTGTTCTTTTTATTTAGGTTTGTGCTTACGCTAGTTCATAATTCTTAATATATCTTTGGCTAAACTTTAGTAAACTTTGAATTTATGAGTTCACACGTGAGGTTGTGAAGCATAAGTTGAGAAGCAAACATTTTTCACTATGGGTGGTACCATCTGAAATTTGGAATATTATATGAGATTGGCATGTGCTTCAAATTTGTGCTTGTCATTTATCTTTTGAAACTATTATTATCTTTCAGGAGACTTAGCAGTATCCATAGAAACTTAACTATATAGTTAGGGCTTCATGATGTCAGTGTCACACAGGATGTCAGAATGCCATCCTGCAATTAGCTCGCACTGATTCTTAGTGAACTGATGTGCTGCAAGGGGTCATATATAGCTGCAAGGGCACCATAGATGCTTTATAGAAATTATTATTGGGAACTATAGATACTTTGTACCAGTTATTATTTTTTAAACAGTCAGCCCAGTTGTCTACAAGACCCTACTGTATTTGATATATCTATCATGTAAAGGTGTCCTCAGATCGTATTTGCTATGTTGGTAATGCAGATTCTGACTCAGGCAGTGACATTGAAAGCGAACCAGAAAAAGTTGTTAGCCCAGCAAAGCTTGTGAAGGTACTTTGGCAATTTTTTACTGGGTGATCCTTCAATTAAGCCAGTTAATGCAATAAGGACTATATTGTTAGTGAAGATATGGACCAACGGAGTGTGTTAGCAGGATTAAATCCTACCAATTCTTTCTCTCCTTGGCTCTCTACATCAATCCATTATTCCCTCGTCATTTTCTTTACCGCCTCTGTAGTCTTACCAGCCCTTATGTTCGCAACTTGACCCTCCTTGTCCAATTTTTCTCTGATAGTACCATGCCATATTAGTATCTGCAGTTAGCTTTGTAGCTTACTTCATTGGTTGACTTGCCTTAGTCAGACCGAACCAGATAACAGAATGGTGATCTGGTTGCTCTACCTTTACACTAGTCTGGGTCAAGATTACGATATTCAGATCTACCAATGTCATGGCAAGAGTTTGTCATTTCATTTCCAATGACTGGCCAACCTTTTCCGCTGCAATAATTGGTTTATTCTAATTGCAGGGACCAGAACAACCTGCAGAGCAAGTCAAGAGTGATGATGTTATAAGCCCTGTTGATGCTAACCGTAAGTTTTATCCCCATGCTCTTTAGCTGCTTGTTGTGACGAGCTTTTCTTAATCTACCTTTAGGGCATGACGGCTCCAGTCTATAACCTCTGTCCATGTCAGATTTAGCCTGCAGTACAGACATCCTCTACAATGCATTGTCTAGTTAGTTGTCTGTATAGGCCCAAAATTTATGGGAAACTTGAACGAATCCTCGAAGGAAAAATGGCTGATTGCAGACACCCATCGTACAACGGGAGGAACGCTGTCGTTAAGGAGCTATTTTTATGCGTTTAGCCGATCTGTAATTAATAATTATACAGACAGACAGTTTCTCTCTCGTCCTTCTCTTTCATCGACGTGACCAAAATTTCTATGTTACCCGTTTTGTGCGGCGCATCCAGGAGTCTGAGGTGAAGGAGGCTTTAAAAAGGATGAAAGGAGGCAAGGCGATGGGCCCTGATTGTATCCCCATTGAGGTGTGGAAAGGTCTCGGGGACATAGCGATAGTATGGCTAACCAAGCTTTTCAACCTCATTTTTCGGGCAAACAAGATGCCAGAAGAATGGAGACGGAGTATATTAGTACCAATCTTCAAGAACAAGGGGGATGTTCAGAGTTGTACTAATTACCGTGGAATTAAGCTGATGAGCCATACAATGAAGCTATGGGAGAGAGTCATTGAGCACCGCTTAAGAAGAATGACAAGCGTGACCAAAAATCAGTTTGGTTTCATGCCTGGGAGGTCGACCATGGAAGCCATTTTCTTGGTACGACAACTTATGGAGAGATATAGGGAGCATAAGAAGGACTTGCATATGGTGTTCATTGACTTGGAGAAGGCCTATGATAAGATACCGCGGAATGTCATGTGGTGGGCCTTGGAGAAACACAAAGTCCCAGCAAAGTACATTACCCTCATCAAGGACATGTACAATAATTTGTGACAAGTGTTCGAACAAGTGATGTCGACACCGATGACTTCCCGATTAAGATAGGACTGCATCAGGGGTCAGCTTTGAGCCCTTATCTTTTTGCATTGGTGATGGATGAGGTCACAAGGGGTATACAAGGAGATATCTCATGGTGTATGCTCTTTGCGGATGATGTGGTGCTAGTTGACGATAGTCGGACGGGGGTAAATAGGAAGTTAGAGTTATGGAGACAAACCTTGGAATCGAAAGGGTTTAGGCTTAGTAGAACTAAAACCGAGTACATGATGTGCGGTTTCAGTACTACTAGCTGTGAGGAGGAGGAGGTTAGCCTTGATGGCCAGGTGGTACCTCGGAAGGACACCTTTCGGTATTTGGGGTCAATGTTGCAGGAGGATGGGGGTATTGATGAAGATGTGAACCATCGAATCAAAGCCGGATGGATGAAGTGGCGCCAAGCTTCTGGCATTCTCTGTGACAAGAGAGTGCCACAAAAGCTAAAAGGCAAGTTCTACAGGACGGCGGTTCGACCCGCAATGTTGTATGGCGCGGAATGTTGGCCGACTAAAAGGCGACATGTTCAACAGTTAGGTGTGGCGGAGATGCGTATGTTGAGATGGATGTGTGGCCACACGAGGAAGGATCGTGTCCGGAATGATGATATACGAGATAGAGTTGGGGTAGCACCAATTGAGGAGAAGCTTGTCCAACATCGTTTGAGATGGTTTGGGCATATTTAGCGCAGGCCTCCAGAAGCTCCAGTGCATAGCGGACGGCTAAAGCGTGCGGAGAATGTCAAGAGAGGGCGGGGTCGACCGATTTTGACATGGGAGGAGTCCGTTAAGAGAGACCTGAAGGATTGGAGTATCGACAAAGAGCTAGCTATGGACAGGGGTGCGTGGAAGCTTGCTATCCATGTGCCAGAGCCATGAGTTGGTTGCGAGATCTTATGGGTTTCACCTCTAGCCTACCCCAACTTGTTTGGGACTAAAGGCTTTGTTGTTGTTGTTGTTGTTGTACCCTGTTGTACATGCCCTTACTAGTTAGATGTCTGTGGGTTGCCACAGACTAATGATAAAATATATAGATACATTATTTGCTATGAACATACTCCCTCCGCTTGGAATTACTTGTCACAGAAATAGATGTATCTAGAACGTATTTTTAGTTTTAGATACATCCATTTCTACCCATTTCTGCGACAAGTGAATGCAGTTTCTCACTATGTGACAAATCCCAGCATGCTTTTTTTCCAACCGCCCCCAAGGCAACTTGCTCCTTGCTCCCACCTCCGTAGGATATATATCTCTTTCAACCCTCCCTCGTTAGTATATGTTCGATATTTTTCTCATCATCATCTCTTTCAACTCCCATCGATGCAGTGTTGCTGTTGTGTCCCTCAATCATTCTGCCTCCAGTTATATGCTTGCATTCTTCAACTCTAGAGGGGGCTCTGATCACCTCTTTGATGGATGGATGCGCATTAAATGTCTTGCTTTCGTGTTGAAAATGATGAGTAAAGGAACATGTTAGACAACAGCACTCATCACATTATATTGAACAACCAAGTTATAAGCACTTCGAACATTGTATTTTACTCATTCCCCATCACCTCTTTGCCTCTTTGGTGACTGTTGCGTGCCTGGGCTTTTTTCTCCCCACACGCTTCCTTTCTCCTCACAAACCGCCACTTGCATCATGTCTTCTACAACTTTGGTGATTAGCGGGTGCTCGTATCATTGTGAAAACAATTTGTCATATTTGGCATGCAACATTCTCCCTGTTTGTATATTAGTAATGAGAATAGTGAATATGTGACATACAACCACAATAGGGTTTATGCTGCATATTGAACCTAATGGTGACAACTAGCATTGTTTGTGCTCCTCTTGTTGGCTTTGTTCCGCCCTGGATCAAGTAACATTCTCCCGCTTTTTTTTCATCTCCTCGTGGCAGTCGTTTCCAGGAAAGGATGATACCGTAATCCATATACACACATGTATTATGTGAAAAATATACAAACAAGCGAGTAGATGTATAAATAGGAAGCAACCATTTTGTTAATTCTCATCCATGAACTCACAAATTCAACAGGACATGAACCTTTTTCCAGGTCATGAGATGCTGCTTTTAGGGATGTAAACCTGGTCCTGTTTAAGCCCACTTGTTGGTCTAACAGTTCAATAAAAAAATTCTGAGGAAAATGAACTATCGAGCTAACTAAACGGGACTTGCGGGTGCCATTTACATCCCTAGCTGCTTTGGCCAACATATTAGTAAGAACATCTACAGCTAGATTAAAAAGGAGTGGGGATAGGGGATCTCCTTGTCTAAGGCCTTCGCCAGTCAGGAAGAAGTCATTCATGACCATTAATTTTGACTCCCAGAGAACCCCCCATCGGTGATACACCCACCACGAAAAGCCTTACATTGTAGCAGCTCTTCTAAAAAATCTAGATTGACAAAATCAAAAGCTTTCTCATAGTTTAGCTTAAGCACTAAACCTGACTTTTTGGATGAGTGGACTGAGTGTAGCACCTCATGGGCAGTGACCACACTCTCTAGAATATATCTACCCTTAATGAAAGCAGATTGGTTACTACTCCCTCTGGAAGTAGCAATTAGTGTCTACAAATCAAGCTAATCCTATTAGTCAAGACCTTGGCGAAGATCTTAAAACTACAATTAAGCAGGCATATTTTTTGTCTAAAAATTTCCCCATAGCAGTAGCATCAGCCTCCTTAGGGATGAGGGTTAAAATTGCAAAATTAAGCCTATAAATATCTAGTTCCCCTTTATTAGAGAAATCCTGAAACATGTTAAAGGCATATCGAGGCGATGATGAAGGCACGGCGGAGTGATGGCATTGCATATTGAAGTGTAGTTGCATAGTGCTACGCCGCCTGGAGCGTGGGGCACCGCGCCGAGCGGGGTGGTTCTGATTCGTGAGCGATAGTGGTTTGGACACAAGCACTACCAGGTCGGGGGTGTAGGTGGAGGATGTGCTGATGTGTGGTTGTTTTTATAATGTGGGTCTTTTTCATGGGATTATTTTTGTGGGGAGACCTTGTGCGTGGGCAGCAGATGTTTATTTTGGTTTTCTCTTTTACGGTAAAAGATTGGTGAGGGTGAGGATGTGGGAGGTCAAACCATTACGACGGCAGACTCCCCTAATATTTAAGATTTGTCATACTTAACATTTACCATTGATTAAATCACAGAGACTGCTGCTGATGTGGAACTCCGTGAGCAGGACAATGAATCCAAGGCTGCACCTGAAGGTAAGCATGATTATGTAAGCAGGCTCCTATGAGACACCAAGCCGTCTTGGTGCATTAATCTGGTCGGATCATCTGATCCTTTACCAATGAAAAATATAGGGGAGAATGCAAAACCCGACAGGCAACTCTCCCCGGACAAGCTCTTACGAGCAGCTGTTTTGAGGGGCCGTTATGCTGATGTAATCGTGAAAGCTCGTGGGATTCTCAGCCAGGTCTGGAGGCTTTTACGTCTAGCTTTATTTCCTTCATTATTGGCTGCACCTCTTCCTGACATGTAATTACCTAATGAGCTCAGGGTGGAGATAAACAGGAGGAGCTGGAGAAACTGCAGAAGGAAGGTAAAAAGCACACACACCTGTTTGTTTGCTGCCAAGGAGTAATCTCCTGCTTTTCTAAGAATTGTCTTGCCTATGGACACAGAGAAAGAACGGCTTTTGGCTGAAGGCAATGCAGCTTTGGAAGCCCGCAGAGCTGAAGCCGAAGCTGAATCTAAGCGTAAGCTGGACCTTGAGAGGGAAAAGGCTCGTCAGGCCTTGCAGGAGGCAAGTGATATTATTTGCTGCTGCTATGAAACTCATCTTCTGTGTTATTATAGCTAAGAGTTTGTTCAAACCTGATTGATGCAGATGGAGAGAACTGTAGAAATTAATGACATCGTCCATCCCAAGGACCTAGAAATGCTTGGTACAGTCACCACGGAACATATTATGAGTTCTGTTGATGAGACGAGTCCCGAGCATTCCCTGGATGGCCTGCCCAGTTTTCTTCCTGGTTCTGGCAGCATGTTGGAAAAACTTGGACTGTTTATGAAAGTGGATGAGGAAGAAGAGGAAGAAGAGCCATGCAGCAAAGATGCAGAGGTCGGAGAAATCAACTAATGTGTGTTGGCATGTTGGAGCCTTGTCAAAGACAGAACAACCGCCTGTTTCAGCCGATGCACATAGGGAAATTGCTGGGTAGCTGTGCACATTTCGGACATTTTTTTCTCGATCGGTGCACAGAATACCCTCATATTTGAGAGGTGTTGCTTGCAGGATGCGCGCCCGCCCTTGGAAGGGGAGGGAGGATAGAGATCGAGGCCACCACGTACAGCTGCAAATGAAAATGGAGTTCATCTCTCAAATGAACTATTTCTCCCAGAATCAAGATAGTTGGTGCGAGCTGGTGTATTCATGTGATACGTAGATCTCATGTAGAGCCTTGGAAATTACACGAGGACCAAATGGTTCTCCCACGCTGCTCACCTTGTGCACTGTGATCCAAGTGCGTTTTCCCTTAGTGGCTAAGCATAGCTTCTCTTAGTTTTGGATGTTTGGTTGCTTCTTCCTGCTGTAAATTCAAATTTTGATGTAGTCGAGGAAGTTACTAGCAGTTGTTTGCTGGGCATCTGCGAAGAACGGCCACTGCTATTCTTTTGACAAGGAAAAACGTACCAACAGTATATGCTAGACACAGAAAACCTGAACTCATGAAGGGCCTTGTCCTTATTGGAGCCTCTACAGACTTGAATGAGCGATGCTATACACATGATGAAATTGCAGACGATGTGTGCACGATCCCATGTGGCAGCACAGCAGCGCATGTAGATGCAGGAGGGAGTTGGTTTTTCTGTTAGCTGATGCATGCACACTGTGTATCATTCGCAGATCGTGCAGTCCGTGTCGTGTGTGAAGCCATTTCAGACTTGAGAAGTAAATACCCCGATAAGGCCTTCCTTTGGGGCCATTTGGTTTGTTAGAATGAATGCCTATTCCTATATCCTAGTATCAACCAAAGGAGGTTTAAGCCTTTGTTAAATAAAGTTTGAGATAGGATTTCCTTCTACAGCAATTTTCTTAGTTTATTTGTTGGCTGCCGGAGTTTTGCACCGAGTCAACAGTGTTAGGTTCCTATCAAATCAAAAAGCAAAACACTGTTTTTAGGGCAGAATAGTATACATATGGTGAAAAAAAGGAAAAAATACATGTGGTTTGGGCCTTGATCCAACCAGGGATAAACGAACAAGGCCTAAATAATCAAGAGGTAAATACACCGGGAGTTTTCAAACTTGCACGCGACGGTCAGTTTGGTGCACAAACTTGTAAAATACGTGATTCTGCTCATCGAACTTGTGCGGACGTGCAAATACGGTCACATATCCCGTACATGGGCGTATCCGATGCTTGGCTGCCTGCTGTCAGCAACAGATGGCGCTCAGCGCGGCGTGTTTTTGCACAAAACCCCGTAGCCTTTTTTATTTGTGAAAAATTAACAACTGGTGGGTCCCACTTATCAGTATATAGCGAAATTTAAATACGAAGAAGTGTGTCACCCAGTCTAGAACACACGCCTAAGGCGAGGACACAATCCAGCCAAGCCACTCCAACCCAATCCTGTGGATGTTTACGTAGTATAACTTTGCTTTACTGTACTATAACGAAGGAGCTCGTGTAGCAGAAATGGGTTCCATTTTGTGCGGCCTATTTTGCATCTGCTCTCCTTTTTTTTACAGATTAATAGATATGTAGTATGTAAATTATAATCTCAATAATAAAATGACTTTCAAATATTGTTCATTTATTATTTTAAAATAATATTTATGAATTGGAAAAGATATTTGCATAATTATAATACAAATATTTTTTAAATATTCATAATTGTAAAAACATTGTTTTCAAAATTTGTAGAATAACTTTAAAAATAAAAATAATAATTTTAAAAATAGTAATAATTAAAAAATGTATGTATAGTTGCACCTGTTCGTTTTTTTGAAATTTTTGAAGCAGAAAACTTTGTTCATGTATTATTTTAAGATAATATTGTTAATTAAAAAAATTGTGTCATAATAATATAAGTATTTTTATAATTACTATTCATAAATATTATTTTAATTATACAAGAATTTCAATAATTATACACACGTTTTTAAAATCTTATGTTTGTATAAGTAAAATATTCATAATATAAAATCTAAAGTCTTGTTATGAATATTTAATCGTGTCTAATATGTAAATTATATATATTCTTTTTGAATATAAATCATGATTAAAAATTATACACAAGTGAATATTCATAAATATTTAATAAATATTGTATTCATCATTCTGTATAATTTAAATATAAGCCACGACTGTATAATTCTTTTTGTATTCATTATTTTTTATTTAATAACATTTTAAATGTCTGTATTAAATAAATATATTTTATGTAATACACAAGTTTATATTTCATAAACTGTTGACTCTACATTTTACGCAAGAACATGTGTCGAACATCGTATGAAGTCACGTCATGTGCACGACACATATTTAGTTGATAATCCCGGACGTTTTCAGTATAAGTGAAATTGTATCTCATGTTAGACACGTAAATGTTCCTGTTGCAATGGTTGGGTCTTTCTTGTGCGTACCTGAGCTAGCTAGACCGAAGACCCACCACCCGCGCTTCTGTATTTCGCTCCTCGCTGGAGCGTATTTTTGGTACCAATGATGATTGTTTTTCTGCAAATAAACAAAGGCGAGGCTGTTTTAAGCAAGAACATGTCGCACCGAGTGCCATCTTGTCATTGACAGTGGGCCTTGCACACTCTGGCCTGCCAAGCAAGCATCGGATACGTCTGCGTATGGGATATGTGACCGTATTTGCACGCTCATGCAAGTTCGATAACCAAAATCACGTATTTTACAAGTTTGTGCACTAAACTGACCGTCGCGTGCAAGTTCTAAGATTCCCAATGTATTTACCTCAATAATCAACATATGGGTCAAGGCCTCACTCCCTGGCGTGCCTAGTTGGATCAAAAGTTGCATGTATGTGATTGGAGTACGTGCCTGTTCCTCCGCGACAGCCCAAGGAATATTTTTTGATGAATGAGGCCCGGCTGGTTCATGCATGGATCAAAACATAAGAAGAATCTGTGAAAAAACCCACATCCGGATCCGACCGATCTTCCTTTTCTTGTTTGAGTTCTCATTGTGTAAGAAGTTTTCTTTTCTTGTGTAAGCAAGGATATAATAGACATGATCTTCATGATTCTTTGGAGAGCCTCCTGGCACCTCCGATGCGACGTGGTTCATGATAAAGGGGAATGTAAAATATCTAACTATTAATTTGTTGACTAGATACATTCAAGATCTTATGGTAAATTCACAAAGAAAAATGTCTTATGGCTAATGCAGGAACCAGTTCGAGCAACATAGTTTCTTGGAAACCATCGGATATGGGTTGGATGTTAACATGGACGAGACTTTCCGTTCGCATGATGGCGGTAGCCATGTGGGGTGCATCGCCGGGGATCACCTTGGAAGGATCCGCCCCTTGTGGACACATAGTTACGAGATTGCGAGATGCGAAAATGCAGAGGAAGTTGAAGCGATGGCCTGTCTCATTGGTCTCCAATCCATCCCTAACACATACATTGCTTGGCTATTATGGATGCCATAGGAAGAAATACCAAAACTTATCCAGAGGCGTACTTATAGAGAAATATCATAGTCATCTTTGTGTGAATTACAAAAAACCACCACCTTCCTCATCGAAATCTTGTTTTGGTACCACTTGTCTTGTACGCAACAAAATCTGCCACTTTCCTTGCTAGTTTTCTCAATAAAGTCTAATGATCGATTCGAGCCAATTTAATCCTATTTCTGAGAGATGGGGCTTGCTTCCAGCTGCCACATTGGCTACCAGAGACGGAGAGGGCTAACGGTTATTAACTGAAACTGGTCAAAAGAGGGGCCCGATCCGTTCCCCTCCCTCACTGCGTCACTCACTCTTGCACTCTCTCCTACTCACTCTCAGCTAGACGCTGGCGTCGACGCCGCTCCTGCTTGCTGCCGTGATACGTCTCCAACGTATCTATAATTTTTGATTGCTCCATGCTATATTATCTACTGTTTTGGACATTATTGGGCTTTATTATCCACTTTTATATTATTTTTGGGACTAACCTATTAACCGGAGGCCCAGCCCAGAATTGCTGTTTTTATTGCCTATTTTAGGGTTTTGAAAAAAAGGAATATCAAACGGAGTCCAAACGGAATGAAACCTTCGGGAACGTGATTTTCTCACTGAACATGATCCAGGAGACTTGGACCCTACGTCAAGAAACAAAGGAGGAGGCCACGAGGTAGGGGGAGCGCCTACCCCCCCCCCCCAAGCGCGCCCTCCACCCTCGTGGGCCCCCTGTTGCTCCACCGACGTACTCCTTCCTCCTATATATACCTACGTACTCCCAAACGATCAGATACGGAGCCAAAACCCTAATTCCACCGACGTAACTTTCTGTATCCACGATATCCCATCTTGGGGCCTGTTCCGGAGCTCCACCGGAGGGGGCATCCATCACGGAGGGCTTCTACATCAACACCATAGCCCCTCCGATGAAGTGTGAGTAGTTTACCTCAGACCTTCGGGTCCATAGTTATTAGCTAGATGGCTTCTTCTCTCTTTTTGGATCTCAATACAATGTTCTCCCCCTCTCTTGTGGAGATCTATTCGATGTAATCTTCTTTTTGCGGTGTGTTTGTTGAGACCGATGAATTGTGGGTTTATGATCAAGACTATCTATGAATAATATTTGAATCTTCTCTGATTTCTTTTATGTATGATTGGTTATCTTTGCAAGTCTCTTCGAATTATCAGTTTGGTTTGGCATACTAGACTGATCTTTCTTGCAATGAGAGAAGTGCTTAGCTTTGGGTTCAATCTTGCGGTGTCCTTTCCCAGTGACAGCAGGGGTAGCAAGGCACGTATTGTATTGTTGCCATCGAGGATAACAAGATGTTTTTTTATCATATTGCATGAATTTATCCCTCTACATCATGTCATCTTGCTTAAGGCGTTACTCTGTTTTCATGAACTTAATACTCTAGATGCATGCTGGATAGCGGTCGATGAG